TATAGATCTTTGCATACACCGGGTTGGAGTAGTTCATTGGCTGTGAGGGAAGGAAAGAAGATGGAACAAATACAATTATATATCTAAGTTACTTCAGAACAGTAGGAGTCTTAAAGCCGCATTAATACAATACGTTGTTTTTACACACACAATTATCTTACAGTGTAGTTAACGTTTGAATAAGAGCCAATCCTATCTGGAGTTGTGTTATGTACACCTGACACATTCAAGGTAAAGAGTCACTCTTCTTTTAGCTCTGTTTTGGTCCCCACCACCTGATAAAAAGGCAAAATACTCATATGTTTGTTACTGTAGCTTTTTAAATGCAGGTGACGTAAAGATTGGTTGCCTGCTATGTCTGCAGACAAGGTTGGCGAGAGTGGTTTTCTAGTTAGTTAGCGAAAAACAAAAACAAAAATAGATAGAGATACCGCTAATGGGTTTGACGCTACACACAGCCATACTGTTGAGCATTAAACAAGGCCAATTGAGCCAAGACAATAGTGATTAGTGCAGCTTTAAGTAAAGTCCACTGTGATTATCAAGGTGTAAAAAGTAGAGACAGCAGTACAGAAGAAAAAACTGAAAGAAACAAAGTGCACAAGACATAACTCATGCATACGGTGGATTATTACTCAGCAAGCAATACGGTAACAGACAGCAACATGTAGATGGAAGTACACTAAAACCTAAATCCTCACATGGAAAATTGATTTATTCAAAAGTATAGCACAGCCATAGCTTAAGTATATTTTTACACTTCTTTGACATTAGCAGTAAAGTGGCAACGATGACTCGTCTATTTCCACTTTTACAACTGATAGGACATCTAAAGACTTCGGTGAGAGTAACGGGGGGTTACATAACCCTAGTTATATAAGCACAGGCGGAGCCCTCTACTGGACTCTATGGGTACTACTCTCAACCATGCTATGCGAGCATTCACACACAGAGTTTGTATAAACGTAGCCGGCCAATCAGGGCGAGCCTACCTGAATGCGCGCACAGGCACACAGTATATAAGGCGGCCACGCCTCCCGCCTCAGCCTGTCCCTCTCAGGAGCCAAGCCTGGAGAGGTTGTCCCAGAGTGGGTAACGGCCCTATTGCACCTGCTTCCTGAGACAACGCCCCCCAGACCTGAGGAACCATCCATGACTGGCCCACCATCATCTGTGTCACCTCTGCGTAACGGCGCCGAGCGGCGACCTGGGGCTAACAGGATGACTGTATCCTGTAAATATAATGTATGATGTAAATATAATGTATGATGTCCTTTATTGTTTTATGTTTCATGTGGAACCTATATGCTGCAGGTCTCCCTTGAAAAAGAGATCTATGAACTCAATGGGACCAATTTGATTAAATAAAGGTTTGAAATGAAATGACTGACAATCGTTCTTGTCTCACCCTCCCCAGGAGGGGGAGAATGAGACGCAGCGGTGGAAAGGCGTAGAGCAGCTTTCTTGGCCATGCCTCGTGTGCAAACACGTCCACTCCCAAGGGTGGATTGTCTTGCCGAGCCAGGGAAAACCACAGGATACAGTGGCTGTTGCGCGGCTTGGCAAACAGGCCACCTCCGCTTTCGCGAACTGCCCAGATCTGCTTCAGCACCTCCGGGTGAAGCAACTGTCACGGATGCCGTGATGTAGGAGGTCACCCGCCCCAGTGGAGTTCCCCTCCGCGGATGCTTTGGGGACCCCCAGTATCGGATGTTGCTCTCCACTGAGGGGGGGGAATGGTCACAGGACGTTGTTTGTGCCTCCTGGGATCTAAGTGAAGGCCGGCAAACCACCTCTGCAGGCGACGCATATGCAGTAACCCCAGCGGTACCACAAGGTGAGCAGCCGCCATGAGACCCAGAGTCTGCATGATGGTCAAAGCTGTAGGGATGTCCCGAATACCATTTCTCGGGCTCCGGATATTCCTGTAAATATAATGTATGATGTAAATAAAATGTATGATGTCCTTTATTGTTTTACGTTTCATGTGGAACCTATATGCTGCAGGTCTCCCTTGAAAAGAGATCTATGATCTCAATGGGACCAATTTGATTGTTTGACACATGGACCCGTCTTTACCCTATCTGTCCTGTAGACCTCTGACCCAATGAGTGAGGTCCAAAACGTTCGCAGGAGGAGGTAAGTTCGCGTTTAGTATAGTAGGGTCCTCCTCTATCCCAAAGGAAAGTTGTCTCCTAAGTCCCGGAGAACGAGTTTTGTCCGACCCACAGACAACCCGTGAGAAGATCCTGTCTCTTTTCCCCCGAAAAATGAGGTGTTAAAACTCAAAATTACGATACGCTCAATGACTCTGTTATTCTATTTATATTTAGCCAATTGATCATACGAGAAAGAACGCGAAGACGGGAATGTCACCACCAACAGTCCACAGGAGCCTAAGCCTCGCTACAAAATACGTTTAGAAAAACCCCTTTTTTTACAAGTAATTTTTTTTTATTTTAGAGAGCGTGCTTATAAAGGACGACTATGATGGTAGTGATGGTAGGGGAGGACCCCCTCCACACTCCGTTTCTTGCATAACAGGTCAGTAAAGTCAAAGTT